TGTTGCGGTTATTTTCAAAAAATCGTGTGGTAAACCTACGCCATCTCACTGTGTGACAAGACACTTGGCTATACAAGAAAAGGATAACATGGCCTCAATCTTTAGTTTAATTACAAAACCCACCTATTACAGCAAGCCTAATCCATATGACTACGATGCAGCGTTCCAGGATTTGACAGAGAATTTCAAGAAGCGGGGCCTTAAACATTTGATCTGTTCCCCAATAGGATGTGTCCGGGACAATGTAGATCCATCACATTTCATTAACAATATAATAAAATTTCAAAAATCAACCAATGCAACAGTGACAATAGTTTCATATAATCAAAATTCTCACCGGATCTTGAGAAACGGAATACCACATGACATCTTTAATAAGCAATTAGAACAGCTCGTGGACATAAACTCAAGAACTGGCTGCGGTAGTCCACACTCTACAGGACTGGCAGTAACCATAGTAAATGAGAAGGGAGAGCTGGGGAAGCATCAACAACATCCAACTCCAACCAGCATGGCTGCCTTCCCTCCTCTTACAGCACCAAGATCAAGCCAAGAGCCACAAGATTCATCCCCTGGGAAAGTCTCGGACCCCATAGTGAGCAGCTGCCCCAACTCCCCATCAGGAGAAAGTCAGGACCATCCGGTCACTGCTTCACACACTGATGAGAGCTTTTCCTCCGACAGCACCAGCAACTCTGAGAGCAGCCAACTACCTGTGGTGAATTCAGCTGTGTGTGAAGTTGTTGGGGGTGAAACGGTTGAGCTGGGGAATTGTGCAGTGGAATCAAGTGTGTGTATGTCAAACGAGTCTGAGAGTTTTTTAATGTTAAGTCAGTCCATAGTAATTGTAACATAAAAAATTTTAGTTTGAATATTTTTCATCAAAATATTAGGGGATTAATGTCATCTTTGGATTCTTTGGAAATAACTTTATCGGAGCTAGATCCAAGCGTTGTTGTCTTGACAGAGCATAAAATGACGAATGATACAATAGAAAGACTCAATATTAATGGATATAGCCTTAGTGCTAGTTTTGGCCGAAAAAAGTCAAGGGGTGGAGGGGTTGTTATCCTAACTAAGCCATTCCTAAATTGTAAAACTATCATGCCATCTGAAATCCAAAATCTTATCTCAGAACAAATTTTTGAATGTTGTTTAATTGAAATACAAAAGGCTGTATCAAAGGATAAATTACTTTTAATTGGTTGTTACAGAAATCCTATCAAGCAAAACGAATCAGAGTTTATTAGAAGGTTTAACATTTTAATTGAAGTTCTCAACTTAAAGTACAAATACATAGTTTTTATTGGCGATATTAATATTGACATGCTTGACAAAAATTATAGAAACAGGAACAGTTTATTACATATTGTGAGAGCAAATGGATTTTCTTCATTAATTGACTTTCCAACTAGAATCACAGAATCTACTCAATCTACCATAGATAATATTTTTACTAATTTGGAACCTTATAATTACAGAGTAACAGGCATCAACACTCAGTTGTCCAACCATGATGGTCAGATGCTAGAAATTTTAAATACTGTGACTAAACATTCTTCCCAAAAATTTTATTTTGAGTATAAAAGAAAATTCTCTGACTCACAAATTGACCAGTTTAAAAACTTACTTCAATGTGAGTCATGGGCAGATCTTTATGCCTCTCCAGTGGAAAATAAGTATAATATATTTTATGAAATATTTTGTTATTACTTTAACATATGTTTTCCTAAATCTCTGTCAAGGCAGCACACACAGCCTAACTTGATTAGCAATGAGTTAAAAGAAGAAAAACAAAAAATTTTTTATCTTAGCCAAACAGCCCGAGAGTTAAAATGTAAATCTTTATATAAAAAAGTTAGGAAATTAAATAAAACATTCAGGTCAAAATTGAAGTATTTTAAAAAGCAATATTATAAAACAAAAATTAACAAATCAAACAATGTAAATAGAACCTCTTGGTCTATTATAAATTCAGAAGTGGGAATAGGATCTAAGAATGTACAAAACATTAATTTAAAAGTAGGTAATAAGTTGAATTCTGACCCTGTATTTATTTGTAACAGTTTTATTGAATATTTTTCAAATGTAACTAGTATAATGTCTAACTTTGAACCAATGTCTGAGAATCAGGTAGACAATGAAATATTTCAGTTTGGTAAAAGGTTTCGATTCAGCTTTGTTAATGAGAATGAAATAGATATAATTATTAATAGTGTAAAGAACTCTTTTAGTATGGGCTATGATGAGGTTCCTGTGGTTCTTCTGAAAAAAGTCAAGACATTTTTACTAAAACCAATCACCCACCTAGTTAATTCTTCTTTGATATCCGGTATATTTCCTGATAAGCTAAAAATTACAAAATTAAAACCACTTTTTAAAAAGGGGGACAGGCAAATGGTGTCAAATTACCGACCTATAGCTTTGTTACCCTCTATATCTAAGATTTATGAAAAAGTAATTTATAATCAATTGGTAACATTTTTTGAAAATAACAATCTGTTTGACAACTTTCAACACGGGTTTCGCAGAGGTAAATCAGTTATAACTGCTGCCACTGATTTTATAGAATCGGTCATTGATAGTCTGGATGGTAAATTTAAGGTAGCGGGTTTGTTCTTAGACCTGCAAAAAGCATTTGATTCAATATCCCATGATTTATTAATTTCAAGGCTTAGTACCTTGGGTATAGAGGGGACTGCTTTAAATTTGCTTAAATCTTATCTCTCTCACAGAAAACAGTTTGTTGAAATTATCTATCATAACCGTAAAAACTATAAAATTCCATATCAATCTTATACCACTGACTTAAAATATGGGGTTCCACAGGGATCCATTCTGGGGCCTCTTTTATTCATTATTTATTTAAGAGATTTTCCGCAACTTAGCAATTTAAGTAAACTCTGCTTGTATGCTGATGATACCAATTTGAAAATCATAGCCTCAACAAATGAAGAGTTAGAAAGCAAGGCAAAATCAGACATATGCGTTTTAAATGATTTTTTTAACTCCCAAAATCTAAATCTCAATGTGGATAAAACAAGTATCATAAATTTTCAAACTCGAACTACCAGAAATCAACGTCGACCGATTATTAAATTTAATAATAAAACCATTGAAGTTAAGGATAGTACTAAATTTTTAGGATTAGTAATAGATAAAAGACTCAATTGGAACTGTCATGTTGAAAAAGTACTTTCAAAAGTTTCTTCTGGATTATATGCCTTAACTAGATTAAAAAACTATTGCGAAATAGAAACTTTGAAGTTGGTTTACTTTTCATACATACATTCAGTGATTTCATTTGGGATTTCCCTTTATGGCTCAACCAATAAGAGAAACTTAAAATCTATATTAAGAATGCAAAAAAAAGCTATAAGAATAATTTACAACCTTCCACCTAGAACTTCTGTTAAGAGAATGTTTAAAACAGAAAATATAATGACAGTTTTCGGTATGTATGTTTTTGAAACAGTGGTATCTGTTAAAAACAGATTTCATGAAATAGAGCTGGTTGGAAGGAAACATGATTATCTTACAAGAAATCGAGGCAAGTTAGCATTAAGTCCTCATAAATTGCGCCTTTTCGAAAAAAAACCCAAATACGCCGGAACAAAATTCTATAATAAACTTCCAAAAGACATACAAGCAGAAGTAAATATAAAAAAATTTAAAAATAAACTTAAGAAATTTCTCATTAGCAGGGCTATTTATTCATTTGATGAACTGTAATTGACTTTTCTTTCCCTACTAATCAAAGTATGTTTTAACTGTTAGTTTTATGTTCTTTTACAATTTTTCCCATTTACTATAAGCATGTATGTTTTATTATAACTTATAAGAAATGTGACACTATTCATGTATATATTTCTAATGTACTTTATGAATAAAGATAATTTGAATTGAATTGAATTGAATTTTGGGTAGGCTAAATTCATTTTTTTTCCAATGTAACTGGTGTTTTGCTCAAATAACTTTAATCTGTGTTGTTCTACATGCCTGGTGTTTCGTAAATTGTAACTGTGGAATTTGTTAGTTTGATAATCTGAACTTTTTACAAGTAGAATAGTTTCAAAAATGTATAAATCATAGATGGTCATTTTACCCAATTTAGACAAATATTTTCCAACTGATTCTCTGTTTTTTATACTAAAGATGATTCTAAGAGCGTTTCCTGTTGACGTAGGATTTTGTCCAGGTTTTTTTTTGTGGTACCACCATATAAAGCTATTCCATAAGATATATGTGAATTTATTTAAGCAAAGTCCCTATCTGAACAACATCAAGCTTTTTGAATCTGCATATCAAGTAAATACAATTAACGTTATTACTAAAACTAACCAAAAGAATGCCAGTTGAAGCAAATAAAATTGTGACAGCCAAGTTTTATCCAAGGATATCAGGTAGCTCTTAAAATGTGAACATATTTTATATTTTATTGCTATTGAAAAAAATGACTGAAATTTGTAGACATACTGGTGACCTATATATCAGCTTTTGAAATTTGATAAAATATTTACAAGAAACGTTGATTATATCGAACTGGTAACACATCGTGAGTATTTCCATTAGGCACATAACCTTTGAGTTGACTTTTTATAATCATCAGAAATTATGACAGTTATTAGTTGAAAAAATAATATAAACTTCAAAATTGCTCAAATTTGAGCAACATGTACACTAGTTTATCTCCAATTTATGTACTTCAAAATTGGGTTTTTGGAACAGCCATTTTAAGGGTGTAGTCCAAACCAGAATGCTACGATTGCTTGGTTTTATTTGAATTTGAAAAGTGTAAAATTTGACTAAGGAACAGGATGTAAATCCCGACGTTTATGAGCTAGCTGCATATTCCCAAAAGACATAACCTGGGTTTTTACTGAATGCAGATAGTTTAAGGGTTTCCCCCAAAAGTCATGGACATTAGTTTAAGATTAGATGTCAGAGAAGTACACATTCTACATGAGTTATACAAGTTGATAGAAAATGATTTCTTTTAGGGCTGCGAGGTAGAATACCACACTCACAACGGGTTGCAAAACCTGTTCCTAAGCTTCAAGAAGCGAAGTGACCGAGAACAGTTTTACAGTTGTCTTCTCTCTCAGCCGAGCTTGAAACTGGCCGACCTGGACAGGGAAAGGATGACTTTATGTTGGCAAAACGGACTTCTATCAAATTATGACTATCTGCTCTACCTTAACAGGTTGGTGAAGGATTCTGTTGATTGAATTTAATTATGTTTTACATTATTTTTTCCCAACACAACTATAAAAAAATATTTAAAAATATTATTTTAATTTATTATAAAAATATTTGGTCAGATCTACATAAGAAGACTTCTTAACCCTTTTGAAGGTGACGGTTTGAAAAGTGTAGTTCTCCCTTCACGGTAATTTTGCAGCGTGGTAGCCGTACATTTAACCCACTGTTGAATCTTACCAGCAAGCGCTTGTGTTGAAGGTCCTTATAGTAGCACTTGTCCCGGCTCTCCAACGGTGACCAGGTGGCTAAGGCAATTGCACTGACGAGAGTAGAGCTCAGGTATTTCTATATGCGCGGGTTCGATTCCTGTACAGGTATCAAGAATGAAGAATTTATTTGCCGTTATAACATAGTTAGGCTTTGTCAAAATATCATTTTTGAGAAAAAGTAAAAGTAAATCAACATACATGATTTAAAAAGTCCTCAGTTGAATAAAATGCGTTATCCTTAAGCAACTTACAAACAGTGGTACAAAATTTCTTAAATGGTAACATTTTTATATCAAAAGACAATTTGTTGTAAAATAAAATCTGATGGTAATTATGACTATTGAAATATTTTTTCACCTCACTGTGATGCTTTTAGCTGTTTTACAAACATTAATTGGAGGCTGATAGTTACGTATTTCTGTCCATGCCAGCTGTCATCATCGGCATTATGGGGACCGAGCAGGTTTTTACATCTCTAGGGCTGAAAATTACCTGCTCGCTTATTTACTTAAAACATTGGTGTATACTAAATACACAAGCAGTATCCAAATTATGTTCGTCCCAAGACAGCTTACTATCAAAATATATACCAAGAAGTTTTACAGGTTTTAATAAACTATCATCTAAGACTAGATTCAAATGGTTACTTAAAGTTAATGTGTTCTGTTTTACTTTCCTTAACATTTAATTTGTTTGCTAAAAACCATGACTTTGATTCCTCCATAGCTATTTTTAGTCTGTGTTGAACACTGAAATAATATACATCAGAATGTATGCAGGGTGGTGTCATCCACATACAAAACATACATCACAGAAACGTTAAAACTGTAGTCATTAAAAACAAGAAAGGACCTAGGAGAGAGCCTTGCGACACTCCGACTGTAATTTGTAGGAAATCAGAATCATTGTTATTACAACTAACCATTTGTTTTCTATTGCTTAAATAGCTTTGGATCAAATTCAACTCATTATCGACAAAAGGTACAATCCATACTAAGCTTACTAATGTGGCTTAGCTGGTTGTTAAGGGCCCACCTAGCCCAAGTAGTGTCTGGATTGGGCGGAAGTTGGCGATATTTGCAAGTTCAATAGGGACACAACACTTGTCTTGCTTCTTTTACACTATTATAGAGGATAATTTTTTTTTTATTTTTTTCGGTTAAATATGGATTTGACGTGTTGAAATACATATGCCAAAACAAAAACAAAACATCCTAAAAAAATACATTGATAAAGAAATTGTACACAAATCCTGAGTCAAAGGGTTAAGATGACTTTTCTTATAGCTTATAGTCATAGTTTAGTCATAGTCAAAGTATGGTAAAGCACTGATGACCTTTTGGTAATTTGGTGCTCTCCCTGTTTCTTAGGTACCCAATTATCGAAAACCAGTATTTTTGGCTTTCCCTAAAGGCTTAACAACTCTTGATGGTGATTGTCTGTATTAAACTACACCATTTTGAAGAATCTAATGAATAACTCATTTGACTATGACCGATTTGTCAATTGTTGTGAGACGTTCCTTGAGGGGGTGGCTGTAGTTGAGGCGGTCAAATGCCTTGCTCAAGTTGAGAAAGAAATTAGTAACAACACATTCTTCTTGTAGTAGGTCAATGGTGTGTTTTGCAAGCTGTGAAAGAGCAATTATAATTTACCTGCTTTTTGTAATTGAGAAAGCCATGTTGTTGTAGTGCGAGAACCTTATTCCGTTCCAGATGAGGTAGAAGTCTATTCAGGATAAATCTTTCGATGATTTTGGAGAAAGTCAGAATAAGTGGCTTTAGTCTGTAATTGGTTTTATCTGTTGGATATTTTTGTGTTTCTAGTAGACTTTTGAATGTTTATTGTGGGAAAGCGCCTTGTTTGATAGTTAGTCAGTGCTTGAATTAGCTGACTATTTTGGCTGATATTTAATCAATACCTGATGTTTCAGTGAGGCAGACAGAACCTTCAATGACCTGACCCAATATCCGGTGTTTCCCTGGGTGCTACAAGACTACACCTCTACCACAATCAACCTGCTCAGTTTTCATTCGTATCGTGATCTCTCCAAGCCTGTCGGTGCTCTCAACCCCATTAAACTGCAAAGACTAAAGGTATCAGACCAGTAGTACAATTTTCTTAGTCTGACCAGTGCCGGATTACTGGAAATGTAGGATTATTGAGCAATGATTAAATAAATCAGCCATTGTGAGGATATCAGCACTCAGCACCGCTCTAATAGGCGGAGATAGTAAACAAATGACCCATTGAAAAGATTATGAAAAAAATAAATACCTTATACTCATTACTTAGCCATTGCAGATTCAGTACTAGTGTTTCAACAAATAAAATCTTATTTTAGCAGTTTAACCCTGTTTAAACTGTTTAGCTACTTAATGACATTGACACACGCTGCTAAGGGACACTTCCCCATCGGCAGCTTTTTAAAAAAATGTTGGTATACTGTTCAGTAGAACTCTAATTATTCAAATCAATCAATGAAATCAATCATTCAATTATCAATGAAATAAATCATTCAATTAAATGAAAATTTTTTTATGAATACAACTTTATTAATTTAATTTAAATTTATGTATTATTAAAAACATATAAAATTTAAAATTTTTTAAAACTACCTGTATACTGTATATACTATTATAAGTAGCCTTATTGTTTTATATAAACTAACTGTTACACACGGGCTCCACCCCATTTTACTACATTAGTATTAATAATAAAACTATTGATTGGTTAAGTTAAGATGAAATAAACAAAGCAGAATACAAACAAATAATAACAGCTGAGGTATTTTTAACATTAGGTAAATGGAAAGTTCCCTTTGGAAAGCAATTACGACCTTATAGGGCAACTTATGAAATAATGGATAATTTTGCGCAAGGTTTCTCATCATGACGAACATTTTAAGTATATGGTTTATGGGGGTGTGACTTGTAGTTTTCTCAAAAGTTCATGGGTACTTTTGGCTTTATATATAGATTATTTTAAGATATGACTATTAGTTATAACTTTAATTTTTCTTCGCCCGTTTAATAGCTACGCAATTTTGTGTAAACGTTTATGTGCCAATAAAAATATATTTGTATTTATTTATTTACATTAATTCTTCTGTGGTCACAGTTAAATCGTGAACATCTTCGACATCATCGTCTCCACCATCGTAGCAAAACTGCAAACGTTACCCTCAATTGGGCAATAATCATTGGAGCTCATCTTTACAAACCAAAGTTCGTACCAGACATAAGAGGTGGCATCGACTGTACTCATTAGTACCCTACCCTTGCCACTTCTTCCCCTTTAAGTTCACCAGTGGCATTTCATAAGAGAGGTCACGAGAGAAAAAAAATGTTCAGTGGATGTGCCGGGAATCGATCCTGTCCCTACTGCACGAAGTCCGAGATGCTAACCACTAGGCTAGGAACACACCCATATATTCATGTAACATTTGTATTATTTCTGTTGATAGGAACGTTACGAGGAAATGCCAGAAAACAAGTTCCTATACGGATCTCACTACTCGGCTCCTGGGTTTGTGTTGTTTTATCTCACAAGGCTTTACCCTCACTACATGTTGTGTCTGAACAACGGAACATTCGACAAAGCTGACAGGATGTTCAACAGGTAGTTACTACTGTCAGCATTAAAAGCTTAATATTGGTTCTTCTAGAAAATCAAAAGAGGACTAAGCTCTTAGTTATCCGATTTTATATTCAGGTTGACAAGATGTATGATGAATCAGTCACTGATTTACTTTGTATACATTTTGGTTTTATATTCGTAAATCTGGACTAAAAATGTGATGCTTTAACCTTAATTTTTCTTCCTAAGGCATTGTGGTAGTTCCCAATCTGCTAAATTTACATTGTGAACCTGTTTGCTTTCCACTTTAACAAAGTAATTGGAAATTTGCATAGGTAGCTCATTTTCTGAAACAGCAATAAGCTACTTTGTTTTTTACCAATAAACATCTCACAGTATTTATTATTTATTTATTTATGACATTTATTTTTGAGAGATTAAAAGGTAGAAAGGACTTGTTCCTCTTATTTGCCTTTCGTGTAAAGATAAAGGCAATTTTAATTTAATTTAATTTCTTTTAACTATATGGTAGAATAATATATAAAAAAGTGCAGAACAACAAATCGTTATTAGAAAACTTTTACTTATTGCAGTGTGGCAGACGTGTGGAGGAATATTTTGAATAACATGTCTGACTTCAAAGAATTGGTTCCTGAATTTTACGACCCAACCAACAACGGAGATTTTCTTTGTAACAAGTTCGGGATCAATTTTGGCTACAGGTCTGACAATACAAAGGTCGGCGACGTTGAACTTCCGCCGTGGGCTGAAGGTATGAAGATATAAAAATTCATTTGAACTTCAACCATCTTAAAGTTTAACATGGCTAAAAGTATCCAAATCTCATTTGACATTTAGATTTTCAGGATTTTTTAGTGATGATAGCAGACTTAACTGAATGGGAAATGGAACAAGAATCTTAAAACTTTACACTATATACACGAAACATTACAATATTTCTCTGTTACTGACAGCATTTGGTATGTTACCATGTTTGAATGGGAACTGTTTTTCACTTTGTAGGGCCTAAAGACTTTGTTACGAAGATGAGGGAAGCATTAGAGTCTGATTACGTCTCTAGGAATCTTCACAACTGGATTGATCTAATCTTCGGCTACAAGCAGACAGGAGACGAAGCAGCCAAGGCTGATAACTGTAGGTAAAGGTTTTACTTTATACTTACTTAGTTATCGTTCTAAAAAACTGTACATATTCTCTTTTTTCAATGATTGTAAAAAGTTAAATAAAAATTTATTAGGCCTATTGGCCAAATTTTTGAAAATACTTTTTGTTGCAAAACTTTTTTGTTTAGAAACAGGATACATAAATTATTTATACATTAAATTACACCTGTATAGCTTTTGTTGTTCCGTAGTTAGTTGATTCATTTATTTAAAATAAATGCTCTTCTTGACTTATCTTCTGCGATATTTCCATAATAATTTTCAGTGCAATATACATACTGTATACACGTGGATTGTTTAGAGTAACTAATTATAGTAGCATGAAAACCAGGGCCGCCCCGAGGGCGGGGCGAGCGGGGCAACCGCCCTGGGCGCCGCGGCTAGGGAGGTGCCGCAGCTTTGGAAGGTAACAAATTTAACAACGTTATTGGCAAACCGAAAACAAATATTCTACGGCAAACTCATAAACATGTAATAAATGACAATGACAATTCTAAAAAAAGGCAATCCGTAGCTTTCATTTCATTCATAAAATAAATACCGTTATTTAATATACAATTCGGACTATTACTTTTACGTCTGACATGTGACTTGTTGGCAATACTGCGAGTCCGAGACACACACACTGCGTTCTACGTATTCGCCCTCACGCCTCACCTACTTTCTTGTTTCCAACCTCAAACTCTTACGTCAACTCAAAGTTGTTTTGTGATGTCTGCTGTGATTTGTAAATTCTATGTTTTTAGTAATTAAGTTCAGTGTAGTTTTTACGTTTATAAAAAATACTTGCAAAACGTTCAATAGAGATATATCGGTTGGGTCTAATGACGCAAACCCCCCAAATACATTTTTTGGAAACAGGGGAAAATTTAAATCTCGCCCCGGGCGTCCCTGATGAAAACCAGTAACTTAATGGTAGGAAATTATTGTATGTCATGACAATTTTTGGTGCTCTAGTGCCGCTAAAAGAATGTTTTCTTTATTTTATTTTTATTGTTCAATTTATTTTTCTGGTCAAAGGGAAGTGAGCTGGTCAAAGGGTAGAGTGTGGGACTTCTTTCCTCGAGGTCTCATGTTCAAATCCCGCTAATCATCAATGGATTTTATCTACGTGATAATGCTGCAACCTTCTATCCTGAAGTAATGTGAAAAATAATCCCAATCCCCAACAAAATATTGCTTCTTCTCTATAATCATATTTTTGTACCTAATCCTGTCTGTGTGCTGCAGTGTTCTGTGATGTGTGCTATGAAGGGGTCGTTGACCTCTGTGCTATATCTGACTACAACAAGAGACATGCGCTGGAAGTTCAGATCATGGAGTTTGGCCAGATACCGAAGCAGATATTTTTTCAACCGCACCCAAAAAGGACTACTTTCTGGGTGGATCGACCCGTTACCAGTGTCAGTTGTGCTGGTGAGTTGAATGTTGAACAGAATATTTGTTAAGAGATGTATTTAAAATAGTTAAATATACACTAATTAATGTGAATCGTCATTTAACAATTGTGTAAGATCAGATAGATTCTTTCCATGTTTTTGGCATTTTTTCTTCGTTCCATACTCTACATATTATATCATGGAGTTTTTCTAGTGTAGTCCTGCCACCTTTTTTCAATAATTCTGCTACTATACCATCTTCTCCAGGAGATTTGTTATCCTTTAAGGAATTTAATGCTTGTTCTACTTCTTCAATATTTGGATTCTCAACAAGAGGTTGTACATCATGGTATATGGGGATTTCTTCATTATTGTCAATTTCTTCCCCATTTAGTAACTCCTCAAAGTGCTCTCTCCATCTGTTGGTCACTTCCTGTTTCTGTACTAAAATATTGCCCTCTTTGTCCTTAATGCCAAATGCGTTTGCTGTATATCCACTTCTGAAGTGCCTAACACATTTATAAAAGTCTCTGGCATTTTGTGCTCTCTGATCTCTTTCTGCTTTTTCTAGTAATCCCTTCAAGTACTCTCTCTTTTTCTTACGCAGGGTTCTTGTGGTTTCTTTGTTTACTCTAAAATATTCTTCTCTATCTTCGTTAGACTTATTGTTCAACCATAAGGGAATAAATTATAGGATTGCTCAGGCCAATAAATGTATGTATTCTTGTAAGAAATTGTTGACTTCAAAGATTCTCTCACATAAAACGAAAATAAAAATATATCATAGTATAATTCGACCAGTATTAACATATGGAGCTGAAACTTGGATTTTAAATAAAAAAGAAGAAAACAAAATGATTGTTTTTGAAAACAAAATTTTAAGAATGATATATGGACCAATACAAGAAAATGGAGAATGGAGAAAAAGACATAATAGGGAGATAAGGAATATGTACAATGATTATGATGTAGTAGCACACGTGAAAGCAAGGAGAATAAGGTGGGCAGGACACGCACTACGGAGAGAACAAGGTTCACTACTAAAAGAAGCAAGTATAGGAAAGCCAGAAGGGAAACGACCATTAGGAAGGCCCAAGAAGAGATGGTGGGATAGTGTTTCCAAGGACGTCAGAGAAGTGGGGGCAGAAGTGGAAGAGGCAGAAGATCGAGAGAGATGGAGAGCAGTTGTTGGTGCGGCCAAATCCCGCCTTGGGCATAAATGGCCATGGGAGTGAGTGAGTGAGTAAGATCAGATAATAACTATATTTCTGATTCCTGGATAGCTGTGGGATGGTAATAAATTCTTATCCAAGCCTAACAGTCGTGAAAGATGTAGCTGATTAAGGATTTCAATTTAAGATGAACTCGTCTAAGTAAATAATGTACCTGTAGTTATCAGATGGACATTAATATAGTCCTGAGAAATGTCAGTAGCATTTTTTAAACTCAAAACTGTGTTTAGCTGCCCTTAATCGTTGGGCTTTAGCAAACAGCTGGTCTTTGTCAGTAAAAAAGCATACTGTGGTACAGGCATCTCATTGTATTCTAGACTAATCCTTCACTAATATTTGACTTAAAATACGCCTGGTTGCATTCCCATTTCAATTGACCAAACTCATTCACTGATAAAAATTTCATTCGTCCCAAACTGAGTATATTTTAATTTTTGTTAAAACATATCTTTCTTGTACCCCTCTTTGATCGTGCTCATTAGAAGAAAAAAAAAATACTGGCAACATCAATCGTATGAAACAGAGGAAACATTTAATGGTGCACTTAAGTGGTGCCTTGCACTAGTCGCTTCTCCTTGCTCTTCACAAGTGTTGGCCCAAGCACATACAAGAACTGAAATGCTTGGTCGTCCCATAGCAAGTTTCCTCTGTGCATCAATCCATTAAATAGCTTAAATATTTTCCCACCATATCTGTTTTACTGTTTCCAAACAATACTGTTCTTATATTATTAGTTCTTAATCTTTCTAACTGAAAACTGTTTAAGTAATCATATTTCTTTGCATCTTCCTGCTGCATGTACCAGATCTGGTGAGGCGTCTGGTCCCATCTTTGACCCTGGTATCTCACAAGGACGCAGTAACTGCTGTGACCTTGACTCCTGATAAGAAGCAGGCTGTGTCTGTCGGCCGAGACGGACTTTTGAAGATCCACTCAGTCGAGGGTGGCAGACAGGAGCGCAGTGCGGCTTTAGCTGCGACACCTCTCTCATCGTTGGTAGCCTTCCTGCCTACCTCCGTTATTGTGGGATCGTGGGACAGCAATATGCAAGTGCTTGTTTATTTACTCGTAAAAAGATTATTAGAATAGATATACAACAAATTCTTTTCATCCCTAAAAAGGGTCCATTAGATTAGTAGCCAGATTCCCTAAGTATCCTTATATCAGGTTCAAAATTGTAATCTTATAGGCCTATAGGACCTTTTTACAAATATTCCAAATTCAAACCATTGTTGGTGAATTTTCTTTTAGATAGGGAATTATACTTGTTAGAAGAATATCTGGAAGATAAGTAATTTTAAAATTTAAAGGTTTAAAATAGGTTTATATAAACAAGGTAGACATTCAGTATTTGGTTCCACGTTCAAATTTGGGCAATTCTGAAATTCGGTACCTATCAAGCCCAAATTCATAAATTCTCAAAAATTGGTGATTCCTTAATATTGCCTGTAGATGTTGAGGGATCAGGAATTGGAGAAATTGTACTAGATTAGTTTTGAATAATAATCAATGTTTAATTTTAAAATCCACTCACTTAAATATCGGCCACCAGTTAAGCATACCAAGTGAGCAATACCCAACTAAAGGTTACTCCTGAAAATTTCAAATCTTTTTTCAACCATTTATTTCTAGCACCAAGAGTCTAATAATCTCTAAAAATCAATTATGGAACTTTTAGACTCTATTTTGAATGTAAACTTAACCCACAGTATCATGTACGATGTGGCGTGTGGCCGCGTGATAGACACAATGCTGGGTCATGAGGATGCGGTCACATGTGTGTGTTGGGCTGCCGAGCGTCGTCTGCTGGTCACAGGCTCGTGGGACGGCTGGGTGCGGCTGTGGCAGACCGAGACCTTTCCTCCGTCAGAGCCAATCAGACCAGCGTCCGACCTCGTCAGTCAGTTGGATCACGACGGACGTGTCACTTGTCTATGTGTCAACAGGTGAGGTGAATAAAACATCTTATTATATATACAAAACTATCTTTGTTATTAGTAAAAAAGTGAAAGCTGTTTCAGACAATTGCTACAACCAAAGAATAAACTGCTGTACGGAGAACTGCTGTCATTGACTGTTGGATACTGAAGTAGATATCTCATATTTTTGGACCAGGTGTTCCCAGTATTTTTTACTAAAAAGATGTAAAGAGATACTAATGGACTGTGTTACAGCCTAGATTTCCATCCTTAGTTACTCAGACGTAGTTATCGGCAGAAGTCTGGAGCAATCGGCAAACATAGCGCAATACTGTATTTGAAGAATCCTAAATTTTCAAGTCTTGGTTGACTCTGCTCCAAACTCCAGTTATCTAAACCCCAACTATCCAAATCACCAATTTTAGGAACTTCTTACAGAAAGAATTATTTAAAAAAAAACCCTAAAACTGCAGTAGTAAGAATCGTTATTAAAGAAGGCAGATGCCATGATCGTGTCAAAATCCTGAAGATCTCCCACGGTCGTGCAGATATCATCATCGTCACCTACAGTCACAGAAACATCATCCTCTGCAATCATGGTAAAAGCGTTAATTTTACGATCTTGAAATCATTGTACACACATTCTGTGATCACAATTCAAAAAGCTTGGCTTGTGGAGCTCAGCCTCCCTAATATAGTTAAATGTCCCACCAACAAGGCAATCATGTGAAGTCAAGCCATGGTACAACCCAGAACAATGGTCGCGCATGCACAGCGACCATATCAGTTGGGGTGTGAGTGAACCACCGGTTTTTGTGCCGCATCGTTGAAACGAGGAAGATGGCTTCGTAGACTCGTGGAACATGGGGGAAAGCCCCTTGTGAGGTATGGTGTTAAACTAATTTATTTCAGTAAATAATCTGTTTCAGATATCACCTGTCAACTACTTTAATGTAATTTCCATTGTCACCTTTTAATGTCGATATTTTGCTCAATCCTTAGTTCACATGGTGTCCAGTTGTCTGATTAGTAATTATTGCATATATTCAATAGGCAATACTATTTCTGTTGTTAAAATGTTTCAATTAATATTAATAATCATCAAAGCTGGCTTTTTGGGCCTGTGATTCACGGTAAATTGTCTCCTCTGGTTAAATTAAGAGGTTCAGTTGTCGTTTCCTGCACAATTGGTTTTGTCTTAACAGTCAAACAATCGACAAAAATCACCAATATCGTAGCCTTAACGCCACAGGCTTGACTCGGTCTACTTTTAATACAATTTCCCAATTTTGGTAAAAATCCAACTATTGGAATGAGGTACGGTCCCAATAAATTTGGATGACTGGAGTTCTACTGAATTTAAAATAAATGCTTTAAAAAGTTATCTGTGCAATTGATTATGCTACTAACTGATGCTAATGATCAATCAAATTATGCTACATCTTTCCAAAATGTCCATTATTGTCTTTTTATTATCATACAAAAACGGGATCTGTAATTTTTTAATTCATCAAAGTTGGTTATTAATTAGTTAATAATTCATTTAACTAATTGAAACGGGACTATTACAAGTTAAAACTGTTTGTGGCAATTTCTTAACCATCTTATATATTTCAGAACAAATACACAGTTGGCTTCTGGCACTGAAGATGGTGAAATATTCTTGTGGTCTTTGATCACATTCATTGTAACACAGAAAATAACAGGCAAGTAATCACTTAATTTTGATTTATATGAGGGCTGTCCAGTAACTAATCGACATTTCGGATTGGTGTCACTTGGGGTGGTGCTATCACCTCCATCTTGGTATCAGAGCGTTCCTACACTCAGTAGCCTACACATCCTATCTATTAAGATGGCGGTGATGGGCCTGATTCTACTTTGACCTGGTATGACCATGTTGTAGTTTTGAAAAATAAACTGAGTTCAAGTATATTTGCACTTAAACAATTATGTGGCAAACTAGAATGGCCTTCTCTCATACAGACATACTATGGAATTTTTCATAGCCATATAAGCTATGGGTTACTTGTTTGGCGGTCTTCTGCTCACGCAAAAGAATTTTCAATCTGCAGCAAAGGGCAGTTAGGGTCATAGCTGCTGTAGATAGGCACCATGATTGCACTGATTTTTTTAAAGAATAGGTACCAAGTGTATTAACACTGTTTTCTCTATTTACTAAGCAATGCCTGTTATATTTAAGACCACAATTAGAGAAGCTGGAATATAGGAGAGATATACACTGCCATAATACTTAAATGTAATATAAATCTTCCTTATATTAGACTTGTTAAGACTGATAAAAAACCATTAATTTTAAGCAGTAAATTTTATAACAAGTTACCAATAGCCATAAGATTACTCAGTGATAAGGATTTCAAGATTAAAATAAATATCTTTCTTTGTAATCAGCCATTATGCTCAATAGAAGATTGTATGTAAAGAACACTGACTCCACTGGATTTTAATTAATGTTATGTTATGACTAATTTGACGTGCCAATGTATTTGTATGGAATACTAACTGGCAAATAAAAATCTCATTCTCATTCTGGCATTGGCACCACCTGGAGCGGCACCAATGGGAAATGTCTGTTACTTTCTGGACAGCCCACTTGTAGTTTAATGGGATTTATATTGTATGTAATTTTTTGCCATGAGTTAAAACCTATTACTATGCATGATGTATATCATGTGTATCATGATGTCATTTACTATATGCATTTTATTGCACATCAATAGAAACAAATTCAAAACAAAATGCCAAAGTACCTCCAGGCTTTTGCCTAGCTTGCCTTGTTCAATTGTTGAAATAGGCCGACTGCTCCAATATGATGACGCAAATAATTCCTACGTTATTTTTATGTCTTATCTTTGTAAACATGTTGGTTATGTAAAAAACACTTTTTATTACCTTCCCGTAGAAGCAAACATACGTACTCAGTACTCCCTAAAAATTAATGTAATTTAAATAGGGAATAAATCTAAACACTTTAAGGAAATATTAGAGTGAAAATCCAATCAGGCAAATGGAAATTCACTCAGTCAGCAGGTATCCTTCAGCAGGGGGTATTAACTTTGTTGTTATTGTTTAGGGGCTCTGCTTTCTTTTAATAATAACAACAAAGTGCCAGGTTAGAGAAAAATATAGATATTTTTTTTTGAGCAATAAGAAAGTGACAGAGCACTATTATGCCTCCTTTAATTACACAATACCCCTGCCGCAGCAAACCTGCAGACTAAGCGAATTGACATTTACCTGGCTGGATATCTACTAAAGTATTTCCTGAAAATTGTCAGATTTATTTCCTATTTAAATCACTTTATTTTTAATGAGTACCTAGGTTTGCTGCTACAGGGAAGGTATTTATTGGTATGTTTTTATTGGTATGTTGATAGCTAAAAGAAATGCCAAATTTGATTAAAATATATCCATAAACAATCAAACTGCATCAGTTTATTTATTCTTGATAAGAATTACGAGGGAATTTTAAATTTAAAGTTTTTATAATTATCTCTGTAACCATTAAGCATACAACAACACTTCAATGCACAAATTTATTTATTTTTTTAAGTTCCACAAAACGGTTTGGAAAGAAATTGTGAAAGTTTATGTTTTCAGGGTAACAAATAGGAAAAAACAGTTTTTACTGCATAAAACCCCCGATTCCCATAGTCCGATCATGCTAATTTGTTCAAATATACAGAGGTTTACAGGTTTGTACAAAATTTGATCAAAATCGGATCAATTTTGCTAAGTTATGCAATGAACACATGTATATAAGGAAAAAGGATAAATAAATAAAAATATATATATTTAATATATATATATATATATATATATACTAGCAGAGCACCCGTCCTTCGTACGGGGTTGGCATATAAGTATAAAATGCTTTTTGCAGTTATACTCAAGCTTTGCGTTTGCAATGAGGGAGGACACAGTTTGATCAAATTTGCTTCTTTAAATTTACAGTATTCTATAGTATTACACATCTACCATAGACATATTGTTTTACCACTTCACCTAAACAATAGAAAAAAATAAATTATCAAAAATTCGCAAAATATCACAAATTATTAATGAAACTAAAACCAGAAACAACTGTAAACAATCCTACTTTGACAGTTAGTTCTCATTGCGTATCACAGTTTTTTGTAGCTGCTTAGTTCAAATTAGCTGTTTTCATAAATGCAAAAAAAATATTTTGCTGCACTCTGTTGGTAAATTTTATAACTTTTTAATGCTTTTGCATATCATAGAACCAATTTTTTTTAGTTGAAACAGCTGACTAAATTATTTAATTCCCTTTAAATATGAATACTCATAAGGTTAACATGGGGAACCACAGAGCCATTGGGGCGGAGCCCGAAAGGATTTTTGAGGTAAGAATATGCCTATATGTTAATCGGTAATGTGAGCTATCATCATGCCAAATTTAAACCCAATCCATACAGTAGTTAATGCGCGATTGAACTTGAAACAAACAAACAAACAAAAAACAAACACACAAACTTTCACATTTATAATATTAGTAAGATGAATTTGAACGTAGGTTGTTTTTGGCCTACGGGGACCTCAAAACAAAAAGTAAATCGATCCCGGGTCTAGGTATTACTAAGCGACCTACGGTAATAGCTTATTCTCTATATGGGAAATTAGCTAAACATGTTTGTTTTGCATATCATTAGTATAATTATATCTTGATTATAACTTGTTACAGAACACACAAACACTGTGAATTGTATCAAGTTTAGTCCTGATGGCAAGAAGCTAGTGTCTTGTGGAGATGACCAAACATTTAGACTATTTGACTTGACATGTGGAGGAATGCAAACATTCTACAAAGAACTGGACGACCAACTCAAGTAAGTTATTGGCTTATAACTCAAGAAATTACGGCATTATTAGTCTTGCACTCATATGGGGGACTAGTAAATTCATTCAAGCTTTATTATAGTTGTTTTGCGCCCCACCTTATCCTTGGATTAGTGATGGTCATATCCGGATATCGGACTACCGGATCTGAGCTAGAACCAACGCCTGGTTGGATCCATAAAAAATTGGATCTTGGACTGGATCTAGTTTTGATAGTCCGATTTTTTTATTTTATTAACACAAAACGTTTTTCATAAAGTCCAATTCAAACATAAAAACAGGTGTTTTGTCATAATGATGTATTTTAAAATAAAATAAATAAATAAAATAATTAAATAATAATTAAATAAAATAATGTCCCTGACTACCCAGCCATCAGCGCACAAAACAGCTATCTCTTCTCTTTCCAAAATGGTAGTCGGATCTCTATTGAAGTCTACACATAATTTTATATCCGACACTATCCGTTACATATCCTACTTTTGTGTTGTCCACACGACTGTGGTAAATATTCAAGATTTTTCCTCGATCATGGAAGACAATGATATTGTCTAATGTCTACACGACTGTGTTAGATATTCAAGATTTGTCCGCGATCAGGGAAGACGATGACAATGTTTTTGTGACCGCAGGAGATAATGATAGATGATGTCTCTCAATTATTAATGCGCAGCTTGATTTTCATGTACGAGTCAATTTAATGTAATAATATATTTATCCATACGATGCCCTTGCGGACATGTTTTTGGATCGGATTCAACCTTTATATTACCTTTAAGATGTAGTAGTTAAATACTGGAATAAATTTATTATACCCAATTATGAAATGAATGAATGTACAGGTGTTTGGACTGGGATGGTACAATGTTGCTGCTTGGGAACAGCAAAGGTTGTGTTTACACCTGGGACTTGATATCCGTCACTCTAACACGTCAAGTCAAGGCTCATGAAGGTAAGACTACAAACTAATGGTCGATATTAGATAGTAAAAGACACAGGTTTTGATCATTCCCTAACAGTTTGTTTTTGTGTCCAGGTGCTGTTCTATGTTTGGCGCTAGCTGAAGATGGATCAATTCTCCTCTCCGGGGGAGAAGATAAAAAAATTCTCATTTGGAAACCAAATGACGATTCTGATTCCACAATCTGAACGTACACTTTATAAGTATTATTGTTAAAAAGTTTAACATTGTTATTGGTCGTGAGGGATCAATTTTGTCAACACCACCTATAAGTTAGTCCTTTTGGGCACAGTACCAAAAACTGGCTGAAACTTTAATCATAAATTCATTAATTTGTAGAAAACAAATGTACATTGTGACATGTATGTAGGTGCAATGTAAGAAGTGTTTTGTCCATAGAGATTCTGACTGAAACATTTTTTAGAGTCTTTCATGTCATTTTACAAGTACCATTTACAATAATAATTTTATGGACAAATGTTCTAAACCTATCTTAAGGCTGCAAGATTCATACAATTTCTGTTTGGATTCCACAACAACAGCAATATTGTTACACCGAGTGACAAAAACGTCTCCAGCCCCAAAAAAATATTTTGCTAAGAAAGTTACTGAGCAATTAGCATTTAACCCATTATTTGGTTATACACTATCTCCCTAGAGAGATGACCCTGCTAGGAGGTAGAAAAAAATCTTAAATGTAAGCTTAGGTTGATTTGCACTAAAAATTAAAGGTTGTTATAAGTGAGTTTAATACTGCAAACTTGGACTCAAACGGACAACCTAGCCTAAAATGGCAGCCGTTTAGAATTTTTTGGATATGCAATTGGTTACAAAACCACGTTGTTACTTGTATGGGCAACATTTTTAAAAATTCAAGAAATCCTATAACCCCCTTAGGAGGAATAATGTGTTAAATGGATTTTTATGCCCAGTAACTTTGTTCCAAGTTTGGTAGCTCTGACTTTAGTGACTTTATTACTTTTCTAAATATTTATACACCCCAAAACTTTTTTGCCACCCTAAATAGTCCTGACTCAGCAAATGAGACTGATTATTAGGAAATTTCTGTTGAACTATATAGTACTGATCATCCTTTTGTCAATTTCAACTGCCAATATAAGCATAGCAATAAGCGAGCATAAACAATTTCTTAATCGGGACTGTCAAAAAAAAGAAGATTTACCAAACAAACATATAAAAAAAACTATTTGAATAATTTGCTTTGCAATATATCATCTCCTCAAAGAAAAATCAATTCACTTACTAACACCCTGTGCACATGAGGACGTTAGACGCACACATTGGCAAAATGTGAAACCATACACAAGACAGCGCTAGACACGGCGTTAGTTGAACCAACCAATCCATTACTTCAGTGCGACTATGAAGCTAGAAGAGTTAACATGTCTTTGGTTGTTATAGATTAACCATGGTTTCATTGGTTCTTTCCTTTGGTTCAAAGCTGTCCTTTTTTTCCTTAGTACTGTTTTCTTCTGAAAATATGACCACAATCTACTGCCAAGCAGTCTTATAAAGAACGATTTTTTTTAGAATCTGGACACTCCAATCATGGTCGAGATACTTTTTGACTTTACCAATAAACAATTCTGTGTCAATTGCTTCCAAGTGTATTGTATACCCAATTCACACACAGATCGCAAAACGGAAAGATGAATTCACGTAAGAACTGGCCAAAAACGCGAGCTCGACTGATTAGTGATCTCATGTGTACAGCCAGTCTAGTAACTCGAGGCACACTGCAAACGTAACGGTTGAAGTGAAAACTACAAGCGTATTGGTTCAAAGCGCACATTTGCATGTGAACGATCCCATTTGTTCCTAGGTACTTAGCTAACACGTGTTTGACAAACAAGGCGTCTATCGCCCTCATGTATACAAGCCCTTAGAAGAATTAATTTGAATAATTATCTATTGTAGCAGTCCCGCTTTTCATGCTTAAACACGAAGTGAGCTCTTTTGCCGATACTTACACAATTTTTACCTACATTAGATACTCTATTCCCTGTGAAAATAGCTGTTGTTTAATGATCACCTGTAACTAAATGTTACAGGTAACTTAATGTTAAAACTTTAAGTTCATTTTGTATCATCGTATCAGTTTGAACATTTTGCCATAAAACTTTCTAAAATTAGCGGAAAACTAAATTTTTATTTAATAAAATATCATAATCCCTGTATGTAGTTGTAAAATGAAACTTGACTGGATGGTTCCTTAACTGCTTAGCCTACAAATGATGTATCTTTTCATTATCTTTCCTTACTAAATGCCAAACTGACGTTTGTTATTCAAAAGCAAAACCCACTAAAGCCGGGTTTTCCTAGGCGCGGAGTCGGCGAGCGGAGAGAGGAACGCGGATAGCGGACTCCACTTGTCTTAGGCAATTTAATGTTACTGTTTTCCTAGAAGCGGAGCGGAATGCCATGTTAATTTCAATTCCGCTCTCCGCGCCTAGGAAAACCCAGCTTTAGCAAGTAAACTTTAAATCATCTTCAATCATCGATATCCTTCCTTACATTAAAGAAGCTATTAGGCTCAGAGTGATTATATACCTCCCTAATTCCAGTCCGTTATTCATTTAGAGAAAGAGTAAGCTACCATCCCAGTTTCATTGTACAAATACCCTTAGACGTCCATGTACAAAAACACGATTTAAGTTTTGAAAACAGTAAGTTAACGGCATAAAATTATAATCCATTTAGGATGTAAAATCGTAAGTTATTGTCTTAATGAATCGATAATGTAGTTTGTAATCCTTACAGGTTTTAAGCCTGTTTTTATATTATTCTAGAATTGTGTTACAACATTCTGTGTAATATCTTTGACTTTTTATACTGCAGATAATATATGGAACTTATCACAGAGTATGTGTCATTACAGTTCTGTTTTATCTGTTGCTTTCTCATACTATAATAGTTTATGAGGACACAAAAGATCCTCCAGTTTAACATAAATTTCCATTTTTACTTTGGCATGAATTAGTGATGTGTGGTCGCAATTTTCATCAGCTCGGTTTATTTTTTATTAGTTGTCGGTTTACGGTTATTTTTGTTTACAATAAAGTTACTACCCACGTTTTAGCCCTAGGTACTAATAATATTTTTCTTTGTGTAAGGTTTATTGTTAACAGTAGGATTTTTGTTTAAAAGATTATTGCAGGTAAAATCTTTTCTCTTATAAATGATGGAAAATGTATGTATTTAATAGGCTACCTTAAACAATACGAATTTGTTTTATTCCTTACACTTTTATTCGCATCACTCGTAATGTCATGAGTAGATAATTCATGATTGCTGCACTATCCTGAAGATTGAACATCTACTGCAATTGTGGAGACATCATTGTCATCGTTTCCTACGATCATAGTAAAACTGTTGCATCAAAATTCACAACCAAAAACTGAAACCAACATTTTCCATTGATTCTTGGTTTTGGTTTTCTTTGCTGAAAACCGGTAAAACTAACAATTGATTTTATGAACCGACCCGTGTCTATAATGAATGAAAAGTAGTTGTGTAAGAATAAATAGTATTTCACTGTGGCGAACTGTGTCAAAGGTTCAGTTATTGAACTAATTTCTCTTTTATTCCAAAATTGGCCACAACTTATTGCAGAATTTAATATCTAAAGGTTGGTGTATCTAAAGTCAAAGGTAATATGACTATCAATATTAAGCTTTTTTATGTTTATTTGTAGCTATATATAAATATCGTTTTTGGTAAAGGTGGCTTTAGTCCAAGGTTTTTAAGAATGTTGTAATTGATAGGTTTAATGGCAGGCTTACTACCAAATATATATGGAAATGCACAACTAAACGCAAAAACACATGGACTTTTCAGAGCTACTATCTCCTTCTTTGGTAGTTGAGTCTTTGTTCTACTGCTGAAGACACTTCCAATGGAAGAAGAAGACTCTAATGGAAGAACATAGAAAGACTACTACTAAAGACAGAGCTAGTAGCTACAAAAAGGCTACCTATGTGTTATGTGTTTATTTGTGCAATTACATCTATTTTCTAGGGATAAATAATAAAATAAAAATAAATAAATAAAAACGTCTTTATTAGCCAGCGTTTCTCTGATACATGTCAGTTTTTCAGAACAACTTTTGTCATTAACCTATTGCACTTACAACTAAACATTCATATCTTTTAAAAACTTTTTAATCTTAATCTTAAAGGTATTGTTGGATGCAACGGTTTTTAGGCTCTCGGGTAATCCGTTGTACAATGCGGGTCCGAAATATGAGAAACTTTTTTTCCCCAATTCCAAGGTGACCCTTGGAAAGTGAAGCCTCCCACCATGACGTGTCCTACGTTGTATGACCTCATCCCGGACAGAAAGCCTCTCGCAAAGATAGTCGGGCTCACGGAGAGTCAGTACCCTGTGAGTCATGCAGCACGTCAAAAACCTGCACATGGCTTCCATGGGCAACATCCCGGCTGCTTCACGGAAAGGGGAAACATGATCAAATTTTTTAAGGCAGAATACAAATCTGATTGCTGAGCTTTGGATTCGCTGTATTCTGCACATGTCTTCCTTAGTGATACTATTGCCATATGCAGGGAAGCAGTAGTAGACTACTGACAATATCAGTGACTGCATGAGTTGAAGCTTTGCAGCCTCAGGCAGCATACCTCTGAACCTGTACAGACCTCTCAGTCTTCCTATTGCTCGTTGGGAGACATGCGTGATGTGATCTTTAAAATTCAAATTTCTGTCAATAATGACGCCAAGAGTTTTGGCTTTGTCACAGACTGCCAGACTCCTGCCATCAAGATTGATGCTCAAGCCATTATCTCTCAGTGTCTGTACTAGGTTCACAGGGGCAGTATGAAGTACAGTGCACTTGTCTGGATTTAGCCTAAGCCCATTAATGCTAGACCATTTGGAAATGTTCTCCAGATCAGTGTTGATCTTGTCGATGGCCTCACTCATGTAACCAGGCTCATAAGACAAGTGCAACTGGGAATCATCTGCATACAAGTGTGCAGTACAATGTTTTACACAGCTGGGAAAGTCAGCTGTGTACAGCGTGTAAAGTACAGGCCCCAAACAGCTACCTTGAGGAACGCCCCGTTTTTTGACGAGGGGATACGATGTTTCACTACCCAATCTGGTAACCTGCATTCGGTCGATAAGGTAAGAGCGAATCCAGGTAGTGATTCTATCACTAAAACCCATATATTTCATTTTTGCAATCAGCATACTATGGTCCATAGAATCAAATGCTTTGGAGTAATCAAGCATGACAAGTGAGCTATGTTTCCCTTTGTCCTTGGCATCAATCATGTCACAGAATAAATTGGTCAAAGCTGTACATGTGCTGTGGTTTTTTCTAAAACCTGACTGTAGTTTAGGTAGCAGCCTATTGTCATTCATAAATTGGGATATCTGGTCAATCACTATTTTCTCTAATATTTTAGATATTGCTGGAAGTATTGATATTGGTCTAAGATCTTCTACCTTAGTTGGTGCAGCTGTTTTTGGCAATGGCCTGACAATACTTTGCTTCCATGCATTCGGGAATACTCCACTGATGAGTGACTCATTTACAAGATGTGTGATTGCTTCAATAGCAAACGGACTCACAGCTTTTAACATGTCTATTGATATCTCATCACTGCCTACAGCTTTAGACTTTATTTGATTCATCACTAGTTTTACAGTTGCTTCGGTGACAGCACTAAATCGACATTCGTTTCTTGTTTCATCTTGTTTATTAGTCATATAAAATTTAATAATTTCTTCATCAGCCTTGATACCAGACCCCATTTTTGTAAAATATTCATTAATGTCATTAGCTTCAAAACCGTCAATAGTTTCTATACAATTGTTTTTATAAACTTCGCAATTCTTTATACATTTCCAGAAATCTTTGCTGTTGTTTGTTGTCGACAGTTTGTTGGTAAAAAACCTTTTTTTCGCATGCCAGACCATTGAATTCAATCTGTTTCTTATTTCCTTATACTTATGCCAATCAGGATCACTTCTTGACTTCCAATATCTATTCCTTAATTTATTTTTTTCCCTCGTCAGTTTCTTAATTATATCATTTCTCCACGGAGCTACTTTCTTGGTTACCCTTTTACACACTATAGGTGCGTGGTTATCATATACTTTTCTAATTTCATTGGTCAATGCATTTTCAATATTATTTACTCCTTGTAAGATCGTTATCTTTTTCCAATCTATTTCAGAAATTTCTCTTACCGCTTGGTCAACATTGAATTTTGAAAAATCCCTATATCTGATCATCTTTGGTTTCTTATGTTCTTTTCTTAGGATCAATTCACAAAAAATAAGCTTGTGGTCCGTAATTGACTTCCCTCTGTGATCTAATATGCTAGGTGCATTTATAACGCCGATCCTCTTGACTTCAACCGACCTGTCCACGAATATGTGGTCTAACAAGGTGGCTGAAGTTGCTGTCACCCTCGTAGGCTCGTTTATTAACTGGATTGTATTTGATTCTCTCAAGAGTCGGCATAAATATTTAGAATCACTACTTGTTTTTGACATAAGATCAACGTTTGTGTCACCCAGACAGATCACAGAGTCGACTTCAACTGCTAAGTCAACAAATAGGGAGTGAAACAAAGAATCAAGGTTAGTGTATCGTACATTGGGAGGCCTGTATACTACACACAGACCCAGTCTCTGGCTTTTTAGCCTGAGGACAACAGAAAGTGTTTCTATACCAGGTGGAAGGTTGGCTGGAAAAATATGTTGGTCATACATAATTCCTTCCCTGATGTATAAAGCAATGCCCCCACCGGCTTCCTCCTCCTCAAATAAGCCAGAAATGTGGTGGCGATCAGAGCGCAACAAACTGTATCCTGGTATATTGAAGTTGTCTGAGGGAGTGTCAGGGTGAAGCCAGGTCTCTGTCACACCAAAAATGTCAAAATTCGAATCAAGGACAAGTTCACACATTTCAGTGAATCCAGTGTTCAAAGAGCGTATGTTTAGGTGACCAATTCTGACATTGCCCACACCTCCCCCTCCGACTAGTTTTCCGACACAGTGACAACACTCTGACTGCTGCCATGGCCACAGTCAGTTGCAGCCACCGCGTCATGGCCCAGTACAGGAGAAAGCGGGGTAGGCATTAAGTTGACATCACCCTGACCAGAGACATGTGGGTCATTCTGAGACTGCAAAAGGGTCCCAATCACATCCATGAGCAAATGCCCGAGGCGAGAAACAGCTCGTCGGCTGAAGTGCACTCCATCACGGGCCAGATCCCCTCTGCCAACACACGTGTTAGCCTCCACGAATGTAACACCGAAGTTGTTACACATCAGCTCAACCTGGGTGTTAAAGTCGTGGAGTGCTCTATAACTAACGTCTCGCCTAATCAGAACACTGTTCAGAACTAATTTTGAATTTGGAAAGTGTGTTCTGGCAGAGTACAAAAGGTCAGCCATGCTGTGGAGAGCCTCACGTTTCCCATGACCCCCATTGTACCCCGGGCCCCCCCGATAGCCACGTCTGAGATTGTTGCATCCAACATGAAAATATATCACAGACAAACTTACACCTAAATAACCTAACAATACATTCTTAATGTCTAAAATCTTTCCCCCTGGACAGCATTCAACATATGCCCCCTTCTCTTTGCACATATTTGTTGAGTACCTTAAGTGTGAGTCCCCAATTACAAGTACATTTCTTAATGTCTTGTGTTGTCCGTCCGGCTTCTCCTCCGACCTAGGTGCAGGTGAAGTGTCACAGTGTGGAGTCGTAGGCCAAGGAGGTGTGCAGGGAGCAGCAGAGCAAGCAGGGGTAACAGTGCGGAGTGAAGCTGGGGTAACAGTGTGGAGTGAAGGCTCTTGTTTCTCCTTGTTTCTTCTTGGATGAACGGGATTGAATTTTTAATTCGGGATGGGACGGGACGGGATTTTTATTTCCTTCCCGATTTTTGGGATGGGATTTTTTCCTGTGCATAAAAAGAAAGTCTTGAGTATTGCTGTTACAAAAAAAAAAAAAAAAAACAAAAAACCATTTTGAATAAATCAATTTTGACCATTCGTGGCAAACCAAAAAATGGGTAAAAATTTACAGGTATAATTGACTTGCGGTCACGGTGCAATGGTGAAAATGATTCCTGGTCACGGCGGGATCGTCGGTATGACTCCGCGGTCATGGCATGGTCGTCAGTATTACTCCGCGGCCACGGCGTCATTGTCGGTATGACTGCCGTCACGGTATGATCGTCGGTACGACTCCACAAAGCGGCAAATCCTGTCCCGAAAAATTCCCTAATCAAATGTAATCCCGAAAATCGGGAATATTTTTTCCCGAAAATTTCCCGAAATGTTGGGACCATCCCTACTATTTTCATCGGCAAGGTATGACTGCTTTTAAGCCTATTCATTGAAAAAACCTCAAATCTAAATACCCTTACTGTGCTGTAAGATAAACACTGTTTGTTTATGTCTAGTCCCAAGTTGTTATGTTTTACTTTGCATTTATACCCTGTGCATTTTTTAGCTAATACAGTAGTAGAAAATGAACTTTGATATTATGTCATCACAGTAGAACCCCTCACATTCAGCCTCAAGTTTTCTGGTCCTCAATTAATCCAGCTGCTTCTCGTACTAAAAAAATAAAATTTATTCATCACGGCTAACAACAGAAAGTAGACTTGAGTCACAAACCATCAATAGTTATTTGATATCAATACAAATCTCTTACAAGCTCTTATTTAGTTATTTGAGTTACTGTAGTAGGTCTGTAATAGCTTTACTAACTTTTTGTCAAGTGATTTGAGTTATGAGCGTTTTTCCAACAAACTATGTAAAATGAGAATATGGTTTAGTTTAAAGTGAATAATCATGAATTCTAAAATGATAATTGAGGTTGGATTACCTGTTTCAAGTTGGTTCGATCACCTGACCAGATTGAAAAGCCGAAAGAGGTTCTACTGTGTTATACAGCTAATCTGCTGGCTTGAGTTGTAAATATTTATTTTTCTGCATCTTTAGAATGGTTGAAAGTTGTATTTTATTGAGTACTACCATTGACTATTGATAGTCAAAGGTACTCAACTGTTTGCTATTTTTATTTTAATATTAAGTTTTGGTTTGTAAATCAAAGTATTTGTGTTGGAGAATGGAAAATTGATTTTTATCTCCTTTAATTAAATAGTCTAAATTACTTCTCAGCATGAAAAATCTG